AGTTCTAGATATGTTGGCTTGTCTCAGATATTTCAGCATGAAACACAACTCTCTCTTGAGTGGGAAGACTTATTATTTGGTTTAGGGTCCACGCACATTGGCTGGAGAGCTTGGAAGTACCTTTTCCTCCCCATCCTGGCCTGCTACCACTACATGGTATGGTCATCCTCAATGGTCTTCCATACCATGACCATCCTTTTCCTTTTCAAAATTTCGTTATGCAAAAAAGTGGCAAGTGGCGGGTATTTTATTATTGAGCTTGCTCGATACCTCCCTACCAAAGCCCTGTAGGAAAAGCCGAGCTCTGGAATTGGTAGTGAAGGACACCAAGATTGTATCTGCTTTCAGTTTTGTGCTGCAGGATGGGCTGAAGTCTGTTAGAGGAGAACCTGCGACTACATGACAGTTATATCATGCTTATGAGTACAGGCTATTTAAACTCTAAAACATTTATTAAATAAAACTTGCATAGAGTCTCACTGGATGCAGCAGATAGTTGAAAATAATGAACTTGTCCCTTTTTTTAAATGGAAGAAGGGATGACAGATGACCAAGTGGGGCTTTTAGGACCTCCCACGACAGTTCTTTAAAAAGATTAGCTCTCCTTTTATTAGGGAAGTCAGCAGGATTTTCTGCTCTTTATAAACTGGCCCAATCAAGAATGCCTGTGAATGTGGGGAAGAAGAGTCCCCTCAACCACATCCCTCCCCATTGGGCATGAGGGCCCTTAATAAGCTTGTGAAATTACAGTTATAGCCAGGAAATACCAAGTAGTTTCCTGTCACGTTACCTCGGGCACCTCCAGCTGGGCTGTAAGGAGCAACCTGAGGACTACGCTATTAAATCCTGACGCCCACAGACCACCTTCATTAACTGCTGCTTTTCGGCCCCCTACTTGGTACCAGAGCAGCTTGGTGGCTCTCCAAAACTTGCTGCTTGGACTGCACTTGATGCTGCCTTCACTTCAGTAACTGCCAGCCTGGGCAAGACTTTCTGAAAAGAACCTTCTCAAGCTATATATCCACATAAAAAGAAGTTCTTTCCAAAGACAACCGACAACCTGTTCCTCCAACGAGTGGGCCCTCACCTTCAGAAGGTAGAGGTCTATCCTGGGCTAGTGCTGTTTTGGTAGAAACCGTGTGTTTTTCATTGGGAATGGGATGCTTTTGCAGCTGAAAGATAAAACTTTGATTTTACTCCTCTAAAGACAAGCCTTTCGCATTTTAAATTAAATTTTACAAATGAAAGAGACATGGATGGTGACCCCTCAACCCAACCTGTAAAGTTGCGTGCATCTAGCAAAGAACCGGACTCAGTACCACCGTCGTGGCTGCCCCTTCGTGAGATCAGCGAGTGTCCCCACACGAGCTGCTTTCTCCCTTCTACCTCCTTTTGCTCGAGCATCAAGAACTGCCCCAGGAGTGTGGTAGGTCTCCGTCATGCTCTAGGAAAACTCTAGGCTCCAAGGATCCAAGGATTCAAATTTCAATTGCTGTAGTCTGCACAGAAGCCACCACTGCATTGCAAGCCATGCATCTACTGAGCTAGTTATCAACAAGCAGAAGCCTTCAACATGCCCATACTCAACTACCTGACACAACACAATCCTGTTTTTAAGGGGAAAAATGCCAAAAAATAATCTCCTTCGTACTTCTTCTTCTCCTCGTTCACCTTCCTCTAAAAAATGCCTAAATCACGGTCTTAAAGCATTTTTGGATTAATGTAATTAACAGTATCTATGACCACATGGACTGTAGGAGGTCACAAATTTTCTGCAGGACACAGTCACTCCCACAGCAAGTCCACCACCAGTTTGTTCTTGCAGAGGTTCAGGAACACAGGTGAATGCTATGTGGCTTGTCCACTTCCTATTTTGCCATGAAAATATTTGCTGTGGGGGATTTCACCCTCTCCAAGAGTTTGATCTTGCCATATCCCTGGAAAAATAATATTGCAGGAGACTCCTGCAGTAGCAGACATTTTCTCCAAAATACAGCTCCATGCATTTCAAGGCACTGGCAGCTTCCACCTGACCTATGTGCTCAGAGATAACAGCCATGGGAGATTTGAAACCACAACTTTGTGCATTTCTACCAGGCACCACTCATCTCACTTGCAGCTGGCACTAAAAAATCACTGAACTGGGAGGCAGCAAGTTAAGACATCAGAGGAGTGGTCTCAGGACGGAGACCACGACAGCGATGGATGGATGGCCCCATCCTACAGAGCCAAGGGCTTCCCTGGAGGAGCTACTGATGGGAAACGCTTCCTCTGTGCTGGCTCCAGGCACAGCTTAAGCCATCACTTGAGCAGGTTTCCTCCCAAATGTCTTTTGGGCTGAACTCCTGGCTACAGAAACTACTCGGGCAACTCGAAACACAGCGTCTGCCACGAAACTGTCACTCTTCATGGCTTTTTGCCCTTCTTGTCCCCTTACCTTGTTCACATCCCCTCATGCGAACGGCCCAGCGGCCTCGTGGGAGGACCTCCTGGGACAACCTCACACAAGGCTGTGCCTACACCACCAAACCAAGCTCATTTCATCTCCAGCACTGCGAAAACATCTTCGAACAGAGACATTACCTGCCTACTCGAAGCCTTTTACCTGCCTTTCGTTGAGCTTTGTGGGAGCTTTGCCCCCACCTTACGGGAAGGTAAGATAAGACCTTCAAGGACCAAGGCCTAGAAGACCTTGCACAAATTGCACAGCTAAGTTGCTTTGACACTGGCTACAAGTGTGTTCAGAAACAACTTTTTTTTTTTCTTTTTGCTGTTAATCTCGTTTATTTCATTGTTTTTTTTCTATATTAAGCCTGTGGGAAAGTTACCTACCGGCTCACGCGCACTTTGGGAAGTGGGTGGGAGGACAATGTGGCTTGGCCACACAAACAAAGGAGATGTGACAGAGCTGGGGGGGCATCAGCTACTGTGTCCAGAGCAGCGTCTCTGGAAGGACTATGGGGTTGCTAAAGAGGCCACTGCAGGTGAGGCCTCCTTCAGCTTTTGGGATGCCCCCTGCAAGAACGCAAGAGACAGCAACAACCGAGGAGGCCTACTGAGAACTCTACTCTTGGATGCACTACCAGCAGTTTTTTAATCCCAGAAGAATTAAAAGTGCAAGCAAACAAACAAAAACAAAACAAAGCAAAACCCACAAGGGACTATAATGATAAAAAGATGCAGCATGAGAAATACCCTACTTGAATCACCCGCTGTCCCAAGCTAGTTCATACCGAAGACACACACTAGACCCGGAATAACCTGCAGAACAAGGTCCACCACTGATGTTCTGGCTCCTAATGGAGCACAGCTACACTGCCACCTCCAGCCAGCCACAGCCACACGTTCACAGTTGTGCTTAAACTGCCTCCTTCCTTTGGCATTGCTCGCCCTGTGCACTGAAGGAGTGGAAACTTATCCCGAGGATAGCAATGGGGGGAGGAACAGGGAGAGAGAGGGATGCGTGGTGCGGCACATACATACGGTATCTGCTAAATTGTCATCAATCGTTTATTGGTTGGCAAACAAGCGGCACTTTTACAACAAATATTAGTAAAGGAGATCATCCGACTTTTGGGACCGTACAAAATGGATCATAAATTAAAAAAGGAAAAAAAAAAAAAAAGAAAAGCAATTATAATCCATGCTGCTACCTTACCTCTGGAAAAGCCTGTGTTACTTAAAAACCTGTCAAATAAATAAGTTTCCTGTTAGGAAAATAACAAACAGAAGACTACTATTTTTTTTCTCCTGAATCACTGCAAAATTCTTTTTTTTCTTTTTCCAGCTCACTACAAGTCGAACCATGTTCTTCTCAACCACGGCAGCACGCGGGCCCAGTCCTGGCCCCCGGCCCGAGCCGTGAAGGCAGCCAGGGGCTTCGCGCCGACGACGAGAGGGAGCGGGCAAGGGAACCCGTGCAGCCCCCAGCGCCGCTGCCCGGCCTTGCGACTGCCAATACGAAACCTGCCCCTCGCTCGAGTCTGCCAAGGGTCCGCTGGGAGGGAGGGACGCGCCGAGGTAAAGGACTCTGCGAAAACCCGCTGCGATCGCACTGCTAAAAACGGCCTCTAGGAAGCAACAGCCTTTTTGGTTTTGTAAATAGCTTTCCTTCATTTTCTTTTTAGCCCACTGAGACTGTTTACTGGGACAGAAGGAAGAGGGAAGGGCAGGGGAAGAGGCAAACAAGCAAATAAAAAATAGAGAATAAAATAATTTAAAAAAAAAGAGTTACGAAAAAAAACCTTGCTCCTACCGGTAGACAAACTTACAAGACCAACACAACAGAAAAAGTTCTTTTTTTTTTTTTTCTTTTTTTTTTTTTCCACTACATTAACAGGGACGCAAGTTCTGGAGGAACAGAAAGCAGACTATATGTGCAATGCTAGTATCTGTACATTACATAGAAACCGTCCGGCTTATTTATTTATTTTTTTTCAGCCTTTTTTTCTGCCATTAGTTTTTTTTTTTTTTTTTTTTTAATCATCAGTTAATACAGCAAAACAGAAAATACCCAGTCAGCACATAACCCCTAGGATTCCCTCTTCCGGCGCGGCGCGATGCTCGCTGGCCGCCCACCCGCCGCGCGACCTGCTGCGTTTGCCGGGGGCGGGCGTTGGGCTCCCGATTTTTTGGCCTTTTTTTTTTTTTTTTTTTAAATCAGG